TCTCTCAGCTACAGTGCTTCTGCAATGGTCCGCGATTGAAGGCATTCTGCTAAGCTAGCCATCTCTTTCCTATTTCTCTTTCCTTTTTTTTCAATTTTTTCTTCCATAAACTTGCTTATACCAGCACAGTTTTTAGACCCTTCTTACCGGTTGTGCGCCTTTGAACATAAGAATATATTTGTTTATATGAATTAATAAACGAATAAATAGAAAGTATTTTTGCGCGCTACTGCATTGATCCAACTCCTGGCAATTAGTGCTGCGTTGCAGCATCGCCATATTATAGATTCCAGGCGACGAGTAGAATACGCGGCGTAATCACGTGAACAGCACGGATGCACCTTCAAAGATACGTGTTTTCCATCTGGCGTTCTCCCACAGGCTGCGTCTACGTGTTTTCCCGATCTCGCCGTCTAGTGAAACAATATAAAAGTTGGACGGCTCTCACCATGAATCAGCATTTTCCATAGAAGTGCTGCAGTTTCTTAGCCTCACATTGTTCAGCTTAGCTGTCACCTGTAGACCTCAAATCAAATGGACCATTGTCCCAAGTGTTCTATTTCAGATGACAATTATTGACACTAACCTTGTTCGCAATCAGCTATTTGCCTCTAATATTTATAAATCGAAAGATGGTAACCCTTCCTGTGAACGTAACAAAGCCACTTTGCCCTGCAAGCTTCAAAGAGCTACTACCTCACATCGATACTTTCATCTTTGACGCCGACGGTACGAGAAAATGTTTCATTGTGATATCATTTTCCTCTTCCTTCTTTTTTTCACAGCTGTTTATCATTTTTATCACTTTGGGTACCTTTTTGTCACTTTTTTTATCATTTTATCTTAGGTGTGCTATGGCTGGGCGACGATGTAATCCCTGGCTCGCCTGGGCTAATCGACTTCCTCATTGAAAACAACAAGCAAGTGATTGTCCTTACGAATAATGCAACCAAGTCACGAGCCGTTTATGCGAAGAAGCTAGAGAGGCTTGGATTCAATCGTAAGCTCGACAAGGTGAGCCTCGATTTCCAGCGTAGCAAAGGCTCAAACAGTAGGCTTGGGGAGGGATATGGCTTGAAGGGGTGGGCGCTGCGTATTACCTTGCCCTTCGTGGGCACTGGAAGGTACTCTTTGGGCTCTCTGACACTACCAGGAAAGGCATTCAACTTCCCATGGAACTTTGAGATGAGACCCAGATATATCGATAGAGCTTCAAACGCTGATTACAAATATGGAAACTAAAACTGCAAAATGAACCTGCCAAGGAAGTTGTGAGCAGTCAAAGTTGGCTGGAAGTAAAGCATTACACTGCCTTGCTTTCAAAGTCGTCGCGTATTAACCGTGCTAGCCTCCGAGCTTCAGGAGTCGCCGGGTGTAGTGGAACTCGTGCCTTATAAATGTGTACGACAACCAGCTCAGAGAACTTAATCTCCTACCGCGGGTGAGAAACGAGGGCACTACCACTACTCCGCGGCGACTCTGAAAGCCTGGGATCAGCACGGTTCATATGCAACGCTTTACTTAGCCAACTTTGACTGCTCACAACTTCCTTGGCAGGTTCATTTTGCAGTTTTAGTTTCCATATTTGTAATCAGCGTTTGAAGCTCTATCGATATATCTGGGTCTCATCTCAAAGTTCCATGGGAAGTTGAATGCCTTTCCTGGTAAGTACTCATATCGTAAGACTGAACCTAAGGTGATATGGCTCTGATGAGGACGCTTGGGTGTCCTCTTATCCCTGTCCCGCACATCCAATATTCGCACCTGGTCATCTTACCATGAAGCTCTCCCACCCTTCAGGCCAGCAGAGGATGAACGCAGTCGCTAGGCTTTGAGACATTCTTCTGCGACCACTAGCCTATAATGTGCGAACACCTACAGAAATATCTACCACGTCAGAAGACACGAGTCGGGTATTTTGAACTGATGGCGTGATGTTGTTTGAAAATCCAAGCAAGGAATGCATAATCAACTCTGTACTGAGTGGTAGCAAGAGGAAGCAAAAAAGCCTGTTAGATGAAAACAGCCAACAGTAAGTCGCCGTTGGTGTGCTGTGAACGGAGGAACACAGCGCTGGCGATAGCCGATGGTTGATAGGATGGCCCACGGCAACACACAAGGCAAGGCCTTAGTGAAGTGCCTTGCATCCTTGAGTCGCGACATCGTCGTCCATCTTGCCCTTGGGAACCCCTCTTTCTCTCTCTAGAATGGACTGGCTTTTGTACCTAATCCCGACTCGTGGCATTAACGTGCTCTAATTGCATTATTTCCAATAATGTCTTGGAGCACTCTCCGGTCGCGCCCTGCAGTCGTAGGGAGTTTCGCATCGCAAGCCCCCTTTGCTACCCCCTTATCGAGCTAGGGTCGAACTGTGGCGTTGGAAACAAAATGCAAAAGTTCTAGCAAACTCTCGACCTACTCTAGAAGCAGTGGGGGAAAATTCAAAAGTTCGACAAATTTCTCGACCCTGGCCGCACACACGTAAGGAGAGAGTGCGCTCACTAACATGCCTTAAGCATGGGGCCTTGAAGAGTCCCCAATGCTACCCTGTCCCAGTCGCCTCGCACCACCACACTCATCACCATGGCCCTTTCAATAGCATTTTGTTTGGGAGATTCTGAGGCAGTTCGATTAGGTCCAACTTCAACCTGAGCCCGGATTGGTACAATTAGCCCAACAACGGTTGACCCTCACCACAAACTCACTCACTCAATGTCTGTATTTGTAAAATTATCAAAAAGCCCTGCTCAGGCTTCCGCTTGGTCACGTCAGGCTGCGGTGTTGCTGGGACACGTTGTGAGAGCGGGCGGGCATACGTCGGCGACAAATATGTAGCTTTTTGAATAGGTCTCAAGGAGTGAACTGTCGCGGATGCGACGGTTGCCCCGTGGGCGCACCGTGCGCCCCGGCCCATTCGCGCTCGGATGCCAATGCGCAATGCTCCGCGCAATGCGCCCATTGCGTCATTGGCTCCGCCCCCTACGGTCGGTGCCAGCCATTGTTCGCCTACTATCACCGCGCTGAGCGGTCGCGTCCCAGCTGTCTGCCTAGCTGCCAGGTAAGTCATTGATGATTGTGCAATAACTTGCAGCTGAGGTCCCTGCTTGGAATGGGTACTACGTTGTCCCAAGGCTGGCATCCGGTGGCAGGTCGGTCTTCACCGGGCAACGCGATGAGGCCAGCTAAGGCGAAGGGGCACGTCGCCCCTGAGTCCATGCTGGTGGAGCGCCTGTCATACCAAAGCCGGTCGTGTTCCACCCCTGCTCCCCGTCTGGGAGCAGCCTGTCATCATGCCCCAGCGAGGACACGCCGACCGTAAGGTGCCCATAGAAATGGTCCCGAGCGGAATGGGGGTCTAATACGTGCAGTCAGCTGGCCTGGTCTGCCCTTGAGCGAGGTGGCCGAGGGAGATCAGAGGTGATGGTAAGTTACTGCGTATAATAAATGTATTGTTTATATGTTGTGTTTATGTTCATGTGGGTTTTGCCCTAATTCTATGTGTTCATTGTATATGTTGTTTGCGCCATGGTTGGCAAGGGTTTGGCACCCTTGGTTCTGTCCGGGAGCTGCGGGAGGCAGTAGGGACCCGTTAGGAACCCCATGGTCCCCGAGGGGTTGGTCCGCTTCTCCTGCGGGGTGCGCAGGAGAGGTGTTGTGGACCCGATGAAAGTCCTTGGACCAGGAGTTGATAGGCAGAGCCCACCGATGCGGATCGCAATAGGCTCAAGCCCCGTTCGCGACATGGTGCATCTGGCCGTGAGAACCGGACCCGCTTGTTCCTGAATCAAAGACCTAGGAACAAGTTCGGGGACGGCCACCACTGGCCGCTCCTGACCCATCGGGTGTCACTAGGGTTGGTGGAACCACAAAGGGGACTTCGGGATTTCACTCCCGAAGGCACCCTCCCCCATTTTTTGGCGTACTTTGGACGGTGGGCGCAGCGATCCTAACCCGGGATGCGAACTGGCGGGGAAGGGATTGGGGTTTTTAGTCCGGCAGGACTGTGGCAACCTGCCAGCTAGGAGCCCATTGGGCCAAAATCCCTTCCCTGGGACCAGGATGCCTGGGGAGGTCTGGAGTGGGACTCCACGGGATCACTCGAGCACTCGCCGCGGGTTCCTTCCGATGAAGCCCCCTGGAGCAGGAGGGCCAGGTAGAACCCAGCTCCTGGCGTTTGTAGGAGTATGCGGGCGAGGGCCGTCGTCACACTGACGGATGGTTAGGCCGTGCATGCCTTCAGTTGGGGAAGGTGGGACGTTGACGACGCGTGAGCGTGTGCTCAGGGCCTACTCCATGGCGCCGTGGGTAGGCTGCTCCAGAAGAGTAGCTCGAGAGGATTCCCGGGGAGCCCCATGAAGGGCTTATCTGGACTGTTTCTGTACCCAGCGCCCTCTAAAAGGTAAACCATCAATCCGTATCAATCCCTTGGAAAGGCAGGTAAAGGTTACCTGGGAACTATGGCATACCCACAGGTAGTGTAGTGTATTGTAGCTGTCTTTATTTTCCTCTTTCTCTTCTTTTTCCTTCAGTAGTTATTTTTCTATCGCTTTCTTTTTCTCTCCTCTTACCTCTGTTAGTTCTTCCGTAACTATTTTATAGTTAGTCTAATATAATTTTTCACTCCCTTCTTAGTACGTCTATGTGTATTTCGTCTTTCCATCTTCTATTACGTCCTTATACTAGTGTTCTCTTTCTGGAAACTTTTCCATATGCATGCCTGTCTAACATACTATTTATTTTTCTCTAATTCTCTCGTATTACGTTGTTCTCTCATTTATACTCCGTTTTCGCGATCGATGAGCCGATGTGCGTGACTTTCTCACGCCGAACGGATCGATAGCGGTGCATCGAGCACTTTCCCAGGCTCGCGCGCAGCGATCGATTCATGCCGACGCGAGAAAGTACACTTTCTCATGCGCGCTCATGGGAACGCTGAGAAATAGTACGTCGGTAGACATTACCGTACTACGTGTTCCATGGGAACGGCACCGAAAGTAGTATGTCAATCAATATTCTCATATTTGACGACATCGAACTTCAGTGCTATCCCAATATGGAACAGGTAAGAAAATACGAACTTACTCGTGCTGCCCAGCATCTTCAACGAGCTGTCAATAACATCCATCCTTCACTTTTTGAGGATCTACAGCTCGATGAAGATGTGGAGATAGCAAGTGGGCAAGTTAAGGACCGTGGTAAGGCCCTTAACATTGCACACAGAACATTGTCTCGCGAAAGCGAGTATGCTACTCAAGCTCGAGAGGCAGCGATGCAGCACGCCCTTGAGCAGGAGTCGGAGGAGGCGCGCCGTGCACTCGTCGGCGACTATCTAACCCACTGGTCTACTAGTGGGGGAGAAGCCGCCGAGGATGCAGTGAGCGATCTTCTTTCTCGGCTTGAGGTCGCTATGCAGTCGTTGTTTCAAGAGGATGTTAATGCATGTTCCACTCCAGCTCGTCCTCGAGCGTCACTAGGAGTGAGGCGTACTGCGTTTACCCCTAACCAATCTCTCCGTCGCACCGAGGAAGAACTCTTCCAGGAGCAGGAGGATCGGCCTAGGGAAGTTACTCCGTTACTAGGATCTGTTCATCCAGCTTCACTACGATCCAAGCAGAGATCGAACGATCCTAATAATACGTCGTTTGACCGTGTAAAGCACGATCAAGCAGTCCGTCTGCCAGCATTCGATCTCCCCGTATTTACTGGAGACATTGCAAGTTCGCAGAGTTCTGGGATATATTTGACTCTGCGGTTCACTCGAACCGTACCAATTCCACCCTACAGTCAAATTCCATTATCTCAGGAACCTCGTTGAAGGACGAAGCATTGTCCATGGTAGCCGGGTACGAGATTACGGATGCTAATTACGAGTTGGCAGTTAATACGTTGCGGGAAACTTACTCTCGTCCCGAGTTTATTCGTATGCACCTGAGTATCCGACTTCAACAACTCAAGCCGGCAACACTCTCAGCTCTCAACCAACGTATTACGTTAGCGCATGTTAAGTCGCTATGGCTTCAACTTAAGAAGTTCGGCGACCATGACGAAAATATTTTCGTC